AGAAGTATGAAGTTACTTCACACAGGGAAAATTAGAAAATAGGTTCAATTTTGACTCCGGTAACAAAGGAATCAACAAAGCATTCTGTTGTTTCTATTGGTGACAATACAAGGTGTCCCATCCTGTGTACTGCTGGCTCAGAAGTAAAAATGACGAGCTTATGTCTTCTTTTTCTTTCTTTTTTTTTTTTAATTTAAGGTTTATTTATTTATTTATTTTGTGTATGTGAGTACACTGTCACTGTCCTCAGGCACACCAGAAGAGGGCATCAGATCCCATTACAGATGGTTGTGAGCCACCATGTGGTTGCTGGGAATTGAACTCAGGACCTCTGGGAGAGCAGTCAGTGCTCTTAACCGCTGAGCCATCTCTCCAGTCCCCACATCTTCTTTTTCTACTTAGACTTGGTTTAGCAGCCACAGAACAAAAGATCTTGGAACAAGACCAGTCTGAATGTAAGAACTCACTGGTCCAAGGGTATTTCCAAGAATCCCACCGAGAGTAGAAATGACCATTATCAGCCAGGCGGTGGTGGCACACGCCTTTAATCCCAGCACTTGGGAGGCAGAGGCAGGCAGATTTCTGAGTTCGAGGCCAGCCTGGTCTACAGAGTGAGTTCCAGGACAGCCAGGGCTACACAGAGAAACTCTGTCTCGAAAAACCAAAAGAACAAAACAGAAATGGCCATTATCTAACTCCCCTAAAGATTTCTCCATGTAAGAGCCTTTTACAGCTCACTCTGGACACTAGAGTTTCAAAGAAAACACTAACTGTGGGGCATGGTGGCTCGTGCCTTTAATCTCTGTACTCCTGCATCTCTGTAAGGTCAACATCATGTAGCGAGCTCCAGCCCTATCTCAAGAAACAAACAACAGGTCTGGAGACCTAAGAGTAACAGCCATGAGCAATATTTTCCAGCATGAACATGAAACTGACTGAAAAACCCCCTCTTGTTTCTGTGATCTTAAGCCAGACCACACCAAGTGCCCTTCCAAAGAAGTCAAGCGGCCTTCCTAAGTAAAGCCTTTGAGAAGAACCGACTCCCTGACCTTGCTGCCAAGAAAGAAATGGCGATGAGAAGAGGCATTGAGGAACCAAGAATTCAAGTAAGTTGGACGTCTGGGGCACTGAGTCTGTTTGTTGTGTGTGACACTGTCCCTAGAGACGATACTAGAACTTTGGGCTATCTTGGGTGTGTACCCAGAGAGGGCAATGGACTGGATGGTAAACAGGCAACAATAAATGTCACATTCCAACAAAGGAAGGCTTTTCAAAGTTGAAATGCACCCATACAGAGCCACAAGCAGGGAAGCCAGAAAATGTGTAATGTAATATTTCTGTATCCTACCCCACTCCCATCTCTCTGGCCAGATAAACTTTTTGCTTTGTTTTATTTTAAAGATTTATTTGTTTATTTTATTTTATATGAGTACACTGTTGCTCTCTTCAGACACACCAGAAGAAGGCATCGGATCCCCATTACAGATGGTTGTGAGCCACCATGTGGTTGCTGGGAATTGAACTCAAGACCTCTAGAAGAACAGTCAGTGCTCCTAACCACTGAGCCATCACTCCAGGCCCAGATAACTTTCTTTTGAGGGTTCCTGTGCATAGTAGAATATTTTTTGGCAGAACTGTCCTTTACCAAATATACGCTAGTGGGGTCCATGGTCATGTCCACATCCTCTAGCCCCTTAGTGACAACCAAAACAATTTACAATCAAAATTGTCCCCATTAAGCATGGTGTGGTGGCATATACCTTTAATCTCAGGACTCAGAAGGCAGAGGCAGGCAGATCTGTAAGTTCAAGGACAACCAGAGCTATCTAGAGACTTTTGTATCAAGAGAGAAAGAAAGAAAAGCAAGGTAGAAACGGTGGACAGCAGTATCTGACTTACTATGCATCCAGCATGTCCTAGCGTACATGCACACGCAAGCTCGTGTACACATTAAGGTAATACGTGATCTTTTTATTTGTTGTTAAGAATCCATTTGTATGTGTATACCCCTCGATCCACACTTCTGAGTAGCCTGACTGCTTACAGGGTACGAGAAGCTGAGCTACTGTCCCTCTGAATCTTCCTTGGGTAAATAAATGTCTGCTGACACTAACAGCAGACCAAAGCTCAATCTGGGGGAGCCAGTGGGCTTACTCCCAGAGAGCATGGGTGACCCCAAAAAATTGCTTCCCTGGGAATTGGCCTAGCATAGACAACAACTTCGCCATAGCTGCAGTTAACCTTTCAAAAGTTATAAATCAAAAAAAAAATTATAAATCTTTTCACTGCCTGAAGCCATGTGCAATTAAGGCAGAATTAAATATAGCTGAATAGAGGTGCAGGTAAGAGTTACTGGGGTCTCAGGTGAGGGCCTCCTGACCCTTTGTTTTTTTTAATCTGTTTATTTAATATATGAAAGTACACTGTTGATCTCTTCAGAGAGACCAGAAGAGGGCATCAGATTCCATTATAAATGGTTGTGAGCCACCTATTGGTTGCTGGGAATTGAACTCAGGACCTCTGGAAGAACAGTTAGTACTCTTAACCACTGAGTTATCTCTCCAGGCCTCTCCTAACCCTTCTTACCCACTCCTGTGAAGGAATGTCAGTGGTCAACAGGCCCAATCTTGTGGCACTCCTAAATTAGTCACAGCTGCTTTGATGAAGACAGCTCACTTCTTCCCGGCCCCCAACTCCTCCCAGTTCCTCTCCCCCTCCCCCTCCCATCTGAATCCACAAACAGAAGAGCCAAAGAAAAAGTACAAGAAACACATAGCTCCAGAGCCACACACAGGAATCCCATGAGAACACGAAACTGGAAGCCATAATATATATATATAGAAAACAGTTTTGTTGTTGTTGTTGTTTTCCAAGACGGGGATTCTCTGTGTAGTTCTGGTTGAACTTTGGAACGCAGAGTTCCACTTGCTTCCCCCTCCCAAGCACTGAGATTAAAAGTGTTCACCACCACCAGGCTCACAAAGTACTTTTAAGGTTAAAAACAGTCTTATGAGACAAAGAGCTTCCAAAGAGAATCACTGAGTTTGATCAGTGTTGTCCATCCACTGCTGGGCATAGGGCCTGCTCTGCTCTCCAGAGTGGTTTGTATTCCCAGTCATACTCAGGTTGGAGAAAAACAATTTTTCCTTTTCAAAGGGGTAATCAGTTGGAGATAGCCTCTGGGTTAGAGATGAGGGGTCCTGTGTCCACTTCACCTGTCAGAGCTGGAACCCCATGTGGCACAGACCTGTGCAGGCCCTGTGCATGCTGCCACAGTCTCTGTGACTTCATACATGTGTTTATATAAGGCCTTCTGCATCCCTGAGGACAGGGACTTCCAAGCTTATGGAATGGAATTTGGCAACAGCTCCAATCACTTGTTTTACGATGTCTATCTCTTGTTTTCCTCAGACATGGTTTGAGAAGCAAAGGACACTAAATCCTGATCATAGACAAGAGCCTATGAGTGTTTTGGGAGTTGGCGCAAATGAGGGGCCACCCCCAGCTGCTCGGTGGCCTCACTTCCACCCAGTCACTCCCCAAGTCAATTACCTCCCTTCCTCTAATCCCTGCTGGTGTGACCACACATCTCTACCCGCCCCTCTCAGGTCCCAGGCATTTGTTCCTTGGGATTCCTTTGAGGTCTTTGGGAGCCAAGCGCCAAGTGCTATGATCATGCAGGCCCCGGAAGCTGTGCAGCGAAACCTCGATACCCTTCACTCACCGGAACAGCCAGTCATCGCAAGACAGGATTTCTCAGCTGTCCAGGCTCCTTCCTATTCTCTGCCTGATGCAGAGCATGAGAAACGACACTCGGAGGACCCAGATTCCATCAACAACATATCTTATATTATGCAATGGTGGGACAAGGGCCGCCTGGATCTGATTGCAAGATGGAACCCTCTGAAAGAGACCTAGTTTGTTCTGTCATCACCATGAGGTTCACCAAAGCCTTAAGTAAGCTCCATGTGTTTCCTCAGGGCATCTGGTGAACATTTGTTAGTTCCACAATGAGGTCATGACTATCACTATAAACATTTGTGCACGAATGTTTGTGTGGAGATTTTTTTTATTGTTATTATTATCGAATACACATAACCAGAAGTGTAAGTGTTGGGTCACGTGGTAATTTAGTGTGTGTTACTGGGGGCTGGATCTAGGGGATTATATCACTATATTGTGCTCTTCATTTTTTTATTGTTTAAGAAATTCATATCATGCCGGGCAAGTGGTGGCGCACGCCTTTAATCCCAGCACTTGGGAGGCAGAGGCAGGCGGATTTCTGAGTTCGAGGCCAGCTTGGTCTACAGAGTGAGTTCCAGGTCAGC